AATATTTTTTGTTGTAATCGCTGAGTCTTGGAGTGGCCAGCGGTGCTACTATATTTTGCACAAATATAGTAACCCCTCCTTCCTGCCATCTTTCGGCAGTGACGTCACGGTGCGGTAAGCCTAGCGCCATTCTCTTAGCCTCGTGAGACCATCCTGATCTCGCGAGCTTTCAAGGTTTCACTCGCAGATCAGTCTGGAGACTCTCCGTTAAAGAAAATTTGGAGCCGTTCACCAAACAAACGTCCAATCAGCGTTGGCTTTGAGGCGGGTTGAGGTGTGACGCAACGAGAAGCGCGACAGTTCAGTCTAAAGAACATGGCGGCTTCAGCCGATGGAACTAGCATTAGCGTGGCTATCGAGCAAGTTTTATCGGAATTACAGAGTATTTCTTCACTGAAAGAAGAGCAAAACACTGCTCTGGAGGCTTTTCTCAGAGGAAAAGATGTTTCTGCTCTTCTCCCGACTGGTTTCGGCAAGAGTAGCCTGGCTTGTGGTTGTGTTTTCGTCGTTGCTCTGTTAGTACGTCATATGCTTCGTTGATCTGATTGGTTTATTTGGCCCGTCTATCACCAACATAGGCCAATCAGCTTACCAGTATTTTCGCCCCTTCCAAAAATTACTTCAACGGAAGGTTTCCAGATGGATATACGGAGCAAATCCATCTGGCGGAGTCAGGTTACCATTCTCCCGCTTTACAAGCAAAATCAATGGGAACTACTAGACACATCTGCAATCAGCAACAATTATTGAAGATTTCCAGAGGACTTCACCATTGAAATTCACCAGAGCTATAGTGAAACTGACAATGCCCACGTGCATTGCAGTTGGATGTTGGAATATATCGGGTAAAAGTGGGGGGAAAAAAAGAGTTATTCCACCTTTCTGATTCCTGATCCTCCACGGACGGGTTGGTCGTTGGATCGCCAACTTGAAGAGGGAGGATTTGCCATTGAACTTCTGGCCAGAGAAAAAACCCGTAATATGTAGCCAACATTTGGAAGAAGAATGTTTTCAAGATGACTTGGATAATAGCGCGTTGTGACAAACACCAGATACAGCACTGGGACTTGATCAACAGCCGATACCGCACCGTGACGTCACTAACCAGTAGGTGGCAGTAGTGTTCTTTGACAAACATGGAAGCCTCCAGTAAAGCACATTCACATGAAAATTAATCCTACCGTATTTTCACGACTATAAGGCGCACTTAAACGTCTTTTTTTCCCTAAAAATGTGCCGTGCGCCCTTTGGTGCGGTGTGCCCTATGTGTGTTGTAACTGCGACTTTTGAGACCACCTCATTGAGGAGATGATGAAAGAGTGGCTGAATGTAAGGAGACCAGGTGTTTTTTTTCCACGCATCACCATCGCTGTTAATCTGTGACTCCATGCGTGCCCATCTCACAGCTGATGTGAAAAACATGGTTAATCAAATGGATGCTGTGCTCGCCGTTATCCCGGGAGGTCTGACAAAGGAACTTCAACCGCTCGACATCGGTGTGAAGCGGCCGTTCAAAGTAAGGCTGCGAGCGGCGTGGGAGCGATGGATGACAGACGGAGACCACAGTTTCAGGATAAGTGGAAGGCAGCGCCGGACAAGTTACGCCACAGTTTGCGGATGGATTGTAGATGCTTGGACTAATGTGTCTGCTGGCTCTGTTGTTCAAGCTTTTGCAAAAGCCGGCATTATTTCTGAGGAGCCGCGCTGCACGGAAAGTGACTCTGACAGCGAAGAAGGGGAAATTTGCATGTCTGATTTAGCGCAGCTTTTTAATTCAGAAACAGAGGATGATGACTTTGATGGGTTTGATTAATACTTTGTAATAAATACATGAATAAAGCACAATCATACTCAGTTTTGCTCCCGCTCTATTTTTCTACCTGAAAACTTAATTCAACAGCAGCCTCTGGGCGGGTCTCCTCCTCTTCACCGCGGCGGCTGGCAGGTGTTTTTTCATCTAAATAATCTAAATCTTGCAGCTATATTTGCTGTGATCAGTGGGAATAAAGTAGTTTTAATATGTTTTTAAGTGAGAAAGTCCACCTGAAAACTTAATAATTGCAGTCAGTTCATCCAGATTATCTATTTCTGTCGGAGGCGCTCAGACCCCCACATACCAGCGGTGCACCGACAGCAGAAATCCTTTCATCAGCAGCCTCTAGGCCGGGCAGCCTCCGGGTTCACGCGGTGGATGGCAGGTGTTTTTCATCTAAATAATTTAAACTGCAGGCACCAGGATACCGGTAATAAAAGCAAACAAATTCCATCGGCAGGTTTCAGGATTTTAAGTTAATTTAGGAGTGATCACAGCGCTGTGTCATCTGCGATGTGTCTGTCTCACGGCCAGCACCCAGGTTTGATTAATACTTTGTAATAAATACATGAATAAAGCACAGTCATACTCAGTTTTGCCCCCGCTGTATTTTTAAATACGCAGTAGAGGTATTTAAAGGTAGTAGAGGACATGTACCTGTATATAAAAAACGCGCCCTATAGTCCGGTGCGCCTTATGTGTGTGTTAAATACAGAAATGGGACACATAACTGAGACTGCGCCTTTTAGTACGGTGCGCCTTATGGTCGTGAAAATACGGTATTTAAAAACACTTTTTATTTATTGAACAGTATGTAATAATTTCATATTTAAAGTACTTTCAGAAGTTTGAATTCTGAATATGAACGGACTTTTCCTTTATTTAACCTGTTTGAAGTTTAGGGGAAGATTCTTCAGTCATTCTTTCCATATTTCAGATAAGATATTTGAACATTTTAGCTTTTTATTGGTTGTTTACAAAGGAATAAAATCCCCCTGTCCTCATTTTGTTTCCTACACTCAGAATTGTATTTAAAATTTTTCAAATATTTATATTTATCTGTTTTTTTTTTTTTGTTTTTTTTTACAGTGTCCTGTCCGGCAATGTGGCAATAAAAATAATTGTCTTGTTGCTATAAAGAGCCCAACAGATTTTGCTTTCACAAGTGCAGCATTACTGCTATCGCCGTAGAGTTCTACTTGATTTCTGCATATAAATAGCTTTATTATAATTCATGCAGGGAGTGTATTACAGATCTCACGGACTCTGCAATGGAAGTAGAACAGGAAGGAAAAAAAAGGGAAAAGATGAGGAGTATCTGGTTTTAAATGCATGGACGTATTGATATGGAAACTGGAAAACGTGAGGGTTCAGTCACATAACCGCACAGATGTTTACTGGGTAGAAGCCGCTCTTCAGATCCTCCTCTGTCACACAGGCTCAGGAAAACTAATTCAAAGCTAATGTCTGTTTGGAAGAAATAGTTTTCATATTACTTTTAGTGAGAGAAAGCACGCAACAAGATAGATAGGATGCATCATTCATCCTATTTCTATTTCTCTCACCTACAGGACCAGATTACAGCGTCACCCACAGCAGAATTTACATTCAGCAGCCTCATTTTAGTCTGTGCTTTTAGCCTCCGTTCACGGTGATGCAGTGTGTGTCTCATCTGATAATTTAAACTCAGCACAGATACCGTAATAAAGCATCAAATTCCATGGCATGGTTTAGATTTTAAGTCATTTTGATTGATCACCATCCTGTGTCCATCTGCGATTTCTGTCTCACGCCTAACACCCATTTGATTATACTTGTGTATAATCTGATAAAGCCAGTCATAATCATTTTGCCCGCTGTAGTTTTTAAATACGCATGGGTATTTAAAGTGTTAGAGGACATTACCTGATATAAAAACGCGCCTATAGTCCGGTGCAGCCTTATTTTGTTTTTAAATACAAAATGGACACATAACTGAGACTTGCCCTTTTTACGTGCCCTTATGTCGTGAAAATACGTAGTTTTAAACCACTTTTTTTATGACATATGTAATAATTTCATATTTAGAGTACTTTCAAAGTTGAATTGATATAAGACTTTTTTTATTTCAAACTGTTTTGAAGTTAGAAGGAAAATTCTTCAGTCATTCTTTCCATATTTCAATAAGATATTTGAACATTTTAGCTTTTATTGGTTGTTACAAGGATAAAACCCGCGCCTCATTTGGTTTCTACACTCAATTGTATTTAAATTTGTCAAATTATATTATCTTTTTTTTATTTGTTTGTTTTTACAGTGTCCTGCTCCGCAATGTGCAAAAAAAAAATGTCTGTGCTATAAAAGCCCAACAATCTTGCTTTCACAAGTCAGCATACGCTATCCGTAGAGTTCTAGCTGATATTCTGCATATAATAGCTTTATTATAATCATGCGAGTGTATTACAATCCACGACTCAGCAATGGAAGTAAACAGGAAGGAAATGTTAAAAGATGAGAGTATCTGTTTTAAATGCATGGACTATTGATATGGAACGAAAACGTGATGGGATTTCAGTCACTAACCGCACAGATGTTTACTGGTACACAGCCGCCTTCAGTCCTCCTCTGTCACTTCAGCTCATGGAATAATTCTTACTCTAAATGTAAACTGCTTTGCAGACGTTTCTCATCTTAACTTTTAGTTGAGAAGAAACGCAGGCAACAGAGGATAGAGGAGGAGAAACTTCCTCTTTTTTTCTCTCTCCTCCATTAAAGGGAAGATGTAAGTTTCACCCCAGGTATTTACTTCAAGCTATTTTTTTTTTTTTAGCGCAGTGGACTTGCTAAGCTCTTTGTTGGCTTTTTTTTTTTCTGCACCTCAGTTTGCCGTGGTAGTGCTTGCACTACTTTTCACAAAGGAGCTTAAAATGCTGTATGTGCAGCGGAGCAACATACTATAGTGTGCATGAATGAATTCCTGCAGATATGTTCTTTTTACATTTGGTTTAAAAAGTAAGAAAACTCTTATTGAAAATATTTAACATTAGAAACAATCTAATAGATGCACACATAAACTAATAATTCAGAAACATTGTAGGCCCCCTTCATATTGTGTATTAAAAACACAAACCTTTTCACCATAAAGCACTGCTTTTTCCATCTGTTTCCTTTGATTCATAGTGAATCTTTAATCTTTTTTTTTTTGCAGTTTGCCAGACGTGTGGGTGAATGAAACGGAGCGATCTCAGCTGAAAACAAAAGTAGTGCACTTATCGCAATTACCGCAGGACACAGCAATGATGCTAGACCCCAACATCTACCGGTGAGAATATGATGCTTCTAGGGTCTCCATCGAGCCCTATCCATTATCATCTGGTCATGAAAAAATAGCTGAGTAGTTAAAAACTACTACGTCAGCTCTTATCTCATTTTTTTGTGAATTAATCTGCAAGGATTACTGCCACATGCTGAGGTTTGGTTTGCAGCCTCGCATTCCTCCAGTAGGGGGCACCAAGTGTTGATTTTCAATGGTTAGCTGGAGAAAGCTCTTTGCAGGAATATCAGATTTTCTTTACTTAACAGTTTGTTTGTTTTTTTTTCCTGCGGTTCAAGCTGACCAAGTTCAGGAACAGGCCACATCCTAATCTAAATGTTTATTTATTTCATCTATATCAAATCAGAATCCAATTTATAAGCTAGTCATTAGAGAATCAATTGCTATTGTAATCTGACAGGTATGAAAGAAATTCAGTTTTGATTAGTGTTGCATTATAATTAAAACATATTTTGATGCTGTTCTCTGCTGCTTCTGTTTATCTTTAAAACCTTCCACATCAGCCCTGATGTTGAGTTTTAGCTGTTATATAAGCTTTACAGTTTTCTTTATTGAGATGGTAAAACAAGTTTTACTTTATGGCACCGAAAGTCATAAAATGTACGAGGTGAATTCTTGAAAGAGGAACAACAGAATGGTCTCCTTAACAGAGATATATGGCTCAGTAGCCTGCTAATCCGCAGCCAGGCTGAGTGATTCTAATTGAACCTGAAGGCTCCGAAACTGCAGGGCCTGCAGCCGGACTCTGGTTTCATAGCTGAATTTAACCGTCAGCAACCAGACAATTTATGTCAAGGTTGTACCAGTGCATACAATTTCAAAACAAATGTGTTTGGTGGGTAGTTGTGGCGGTAAGCGCTATGCTCCAGCTGCCAGATTCAGATTATGTGACTTGAACCTTGTTTGTCTGTTGAAGTCATGTTGGAGTATAGATTGTTCTCTTTTTCTTGCTTTTTCAGAGCTCTTCCTCAGAAGCGACTGAAGCGCAGGTAAGCCCAACCATTTAACAGATACATTCGCTTCAGGTGTAGAAATTATTTTCCAGTTTTTATTAAACCAATTAGAATATAGAGACGCTGCACTTCAGCCTACAGCATGTTTCAGACTTTTCTAAACATGTTTATTGGCATGCTATTTTCTCTTTAAATCTCATTAATAACAAAATACTTTCCTTATATTTACACTGGAAAACAATCTAGAAATAAGTAAATATTTCTCAAATTGAGTGCATTTACACTTAATTTGAGCAGTTTAATGAGATGATTTGCTAATGGAATGTACGGAAGAGGATTAGGGCCAGTGTAAAAAAAAAAAAAAAAAAAAAGTTAACTGATTTTTAAATTTTATATCAGTTTAGTATGGGGAAAAAGTCAGAATTCTGGGAAAAAAAGTCAGAATTCTGACTTTAATCTCAGAATTCTGACTGAATTCTGACAATAAAAAAGTCAGAATTCTGAGATTAAAGTCAGAATTCTGAGATTAAAGTCAGAATTATGAGAAAAAAGTCAGAATTCTGACCAAATTCTGACAATAAAAAAAGTCAGAATTCTGACTTTTTTCCATGTTAAACTGATATAAAATTTAAAAATCAGTTAACTTTTTTTTTTTTCCAGTGGCCCTAATCCTCTTCCATAGGAATGAGTATTTTTACTCTTAAAATAAGATGTTTAGATAAAATGCACTTGAAATAAGAAAAATGCAATTGTGTTTCCTTATTTAAATATAAATTGTCTTGTTCCATTGGCAAAATGTCCGTTTTACCTTCTCAATTTAAGAACAAATGCACTTATTTTAAGAAAAAAATGACTTATCTAGATTTTGATTTTTTCCAGTGTAGTGGATACATTTTGAATGTAATTCTTACCAATAAAATAGTAATTCAGTTTATTTCCCTGTCAAACCTTTTTTTTTCTTCCTCTTTACTACTGAGAATCTGTAAGTATAATAAATTCATGGACAGCTATGTCTCATAACCTTGAATAAATTAGAGTTTTTATAGTTTGTTCAATAAAAGACAACAAAAAACAAAAGAAACTCCTACTTTCTTTGTTTATAGATAAAATATTAGCTCAGGAAGGATTCCTTTGTGGCGTTCCGCTTCTGAAAATGGCTCTATATCACAGCATGTTCAGTTTTTCTAAATGAGTATTTCATCATCTCAATCGATAATATTTCAAAAGACCCATAAATAACAGCAAACATCACTTTGTTAGGGAAGAAAAATCTGTTATTTGTTTCATCCTGAGTGAGCCTGCTGTGTGACGTTCATAAACATCAGTTAGCATTTCCAGTGACTGTCATCATGTCACGACCCAAACTCTTCTCATAATTTCCAAACCCTGCGTGTTTTTGAACATTTAAAAAAATAAAAAGGAAACTTTTGTTTTATAAGTTCAAAAAAAACAAAACAATCAAATCACAACCCTGTCTTTTTTTCAGCTGTGTAACGCTTTTATGTGTTAAAAAATAATCTTAGGTTCTGATTCTCCTTCTGTTTGGTAAAAATGTACCATTATAGTCATAAAGCAGCAGCTCTCTGTTTTTTTTTTTTTACCCAACCCAAACATTAGGTCGAGTTTTTATTATGATGCTGTTTGAACCCAGACGTTAGCTCTAATAGCGTACTGTGTTTTTCAGGGTTCCCGCGGGTCCTTAAAAAGTCTTAAAAGGCATTGAATTCTTCAAAATAAAACTAAGGCCTTAATTGGTATTAAAATGTCTTAAATCAGTTTTTCGTAGGTCTTAATTTTTAAAACATCATAAATAGGATTATTTTTATTACGATTTATTTTTGTAATCTAAATAAAACATTAAAATTGACCTTTTAAAAAAATAATAATAATAACGGCTTGCCTTTATTGGTTCCGTCCCGATAGCGGAACCAATAAAAGCGTTGTTGCGGTCGGGACATTTGGGAGATGCGCCATTAACTTTTTGTCTGGAAAATATGATCAAGTGTAAATGTAACGAAAATTGTCTCCAGCCAAGAGTTTTCTCCATGGCTAAAACCAGGGAACATACATGAGGCTCAGTGGATTTTATTCAAGAAGTCATTCAAGCTCGGAACGATGGGAATTAAGGCAGTGGAGTCGCACATGCGAAACGCGAAACACAAAGCGTCAAAATCCAGTTACCGCGAAACAGTTTAGTTCCACCCTTGTCTCTGCAACGCCTCCACTTATCACCAAATCAAATACACTAAGAAAACCACACAAAGAAAAATTGCTGCAAAAAAGACTTAGCACTGGTTATGTTGTGGCTTTAAAACTGATTTGTTTTGTTCCCTGCTAAAACAAAGTTTGTGAATTCAGTTAAATAATTGTTTAAATATATCTGTCATTTGTGTGTTTTTAGCTTTCTTCCTGTATGGGAAGCTTTTCAAAATTTGAAACATTAGTGCAGTGGTTTATGTTAAAATAAACCTTTGGGCTAAGTTGTCGCAAGCAGGTTTTTCTTGTGTTTCTTGTGAATTTGGTCTTAAATTTTTATTTCAAGTGGCATTAAAAAGTCTTAAAAAGTCTTGAATTTAACTTACCGTATTTTCACGACCATAAGGCGCACCGTACTAAAAGGCGCAGTCTCAGTTATGTGTCCCATTTCTGTATTTAACACACACATAATGCGCACCGGACTATAGGGCGCGTTTTTTATATACAGGTACATGTCCTCTACTACCTTTAAATACCTCTACTGCGTATTTAAAAATACAGCGGGGGCAAAACTGAGTATGACTGTGCTTTATTCATGTATTTAATAAAAAGTATTAATCAAACCTGGGTGCTGGCCGTGAGACAGACACATCGCAGATGACACAGCGCTGTGATCACTCCTAAATTAACTTAAAATCCTGAAACCTGCCGATGGAATTTGTTTGCTTTTATTACCGGTATCCTGGTGCCTGCAGTTTAAATTATTTAGATGAAAAACACCTGCCATCCACCGCGTGAACCCGGAGGCTGCCCGGCCTAGAGGCTGCTGATGAAAGGATTTCTGCTGTCGGTGCACCGCTGGTATGTGGGGGTCTGAGCGCCTCCGACAGAAATAGATAATCTGGATGAACTGACTGCAATTATTACGTTTTCAGGTGGACTTTCTCACTTAAAAACATATTAAAACTAGTTTATTCCCACTGATCACAGCAAATATAGCTGCAAGATTTAGATTATTTAGATGAAAAAACACCTGCCAGCCGGCGCGGTGAAGAGGAGGAGACCCGCCCAGAGGCTGCTGTTGAATTAAGTTTTCAGGTAGAAAAATAGAGCGGGAGCAAAACTGAGTATGATTGTGCTTTATTCATGTATTTATTACAAAGTATTAATCAAACCCATCAAAGTCATCATCCTCTGTTTCTGAATTAAAAAGCTGCGCTAAATCAGACATGCCAATTTCCCCTTCTTCGCTGTCAGAGTCACTTTCCGTGCAGCGCAGCTCCTCAGAAATAATGCCGGCTTTTGCAAAAGCTTGTACAACAGAGCCAGCAGACACGTTATTCCATCTACAATCCATCCGCAAACGGTGGCGTAACTTGCCCGGCGCTGCCTTCCACATATCCTGAAACTGTGGTCTCCGTCTGTCATCCATCGCTCCCACGCCGCTCGCTGCCTTACTTTGAACGGCCGCTTCACACTGATGTCGAGCGGTTGAAGTTCCTTTGTCAGACCCCCGGGATAACGGCGAGCACAGCGTCCATTTGATTCACCTTTTTTTTCACATCGGCTGTGAGATGGGCACGCAGCGATGGTGATGCGTGGAAAAAACCACCTGGTCTCCTCACATAGGCTACACCTCCCTCAGCTACGCTTTCATCATCTCCTCATCCATCCAGCCTTTTCCATTTGCGTTAATATCATATGTCATCAGAGCGCTGTGTCTGTCTCGCTATCAGCTCCCAGATCAGCTTCTCTGATTGGTTGATGCGGCGCGTCCAGCAGCAAAACTTCAATTTTTCCATCTCGAGCAGCAGCAGCGCGTTGGCAGATGCTTAAACGCTCCTGCTGCTCAAAACGCGCTGCGGGACCTTTTGCTGCACCTATACGCGCGTCAACCATTGACTTTGCATGTAAACTCGCTGCTTCTGCTGCACCTGCTGGGTCCGGTTCACACCGATGTCGAGCGGTTGAACAGCGAGCACAGCGTTAATTTGTTTCCCCATGTTTTTCACATCAGCTGTGAGATGGGCACGCATGGAGTTACATATTAACAGCGATGGTGATGAGTGGAAAAAAAAAACACCTGGTCTCCTTACATTCAGCCACTCTTTCATCATCTCCTCAATGAGGTGGTCTCAAAAGTCGCAGTTACAACACACATAAGGCGCACCGCACCATAGGGCGCACTGCACATTTTGAGGGGAAAAAAAGACGTTTAAGTGCGCCTTATAGTCGTGAAAATACGGTATGCTGTAGGAACCCTGTGTTTAAAAGAAGTCAGCTCAGTGTCTTAATTGATAAAGTGTTATGTTGATTAGTGCAAACAGCAGAGAACGGCTTATTCCATGGCGTGCTGCCTTTGTCTCCTGTCTTTGTGCTCAGCCTGTAAGACCTTCTCTGCAGAGTCTGTACTTGAGGGAAAATCGCCACTGATTGGAGGTTGATCCGTTCAGGACGGGGGGCTCTTCTTCAGACTCTGCTCAGTGTTTTAAATGGAAACAAAAACACAAATGGGAACTGGCTACTTTTGTTCACTGCTCAGTTTTTGTATGTCTGAAATTTTCTTTTTCTTATTGAAAAACCTAAATTAAGCTGTTTTTTTTCTCTTTTTTAAAAAAGCTTAAAACCCAAATTATCTGGAAAAAAAAAATCTTTTTTTTTTTTATTTTGTTGTTTTGTTGTTTTTTTTTTTTTGCATATAGCTAACAGTTGTGTAAAATATTGAACCAGATTTCTAACTTATTTTTATACCATATAATGCTGATGTGATGTGGATTTCTGTGATAGTTTGGAGTAAAACTGTATTCGTTCTCAACATGGGTGTTTTTGAACATCGCTAACTGTAATAATGCATGTGACATGGAACCTTAACCAGTGATCGTTTTTATACCTCCAAAATTCAGTACTGTTACCGGTGTGTACGCCTTTTCCTTAAACACTGTTTAAACCAACACTTGAGCAATAATTTATTGGAACATTTTCTTCTAATTTTGCCAGAAAACTACAGAAGAGGATTAGGGTCATTGGGAAAGAAAAAAAAGTTAACTGATTTTTAAATTTTATTTCAGTTTAGTATGGGGGAAAAAAGTCAGAATTCTGAGAAAAAAGTCAGAATTCTGACTTTAATCTCAGAATTCTGACTTTTTTCTCAGAATTCTGACTTTTACTCAGAATTCTGACTTTTTTCTCAGAATTCTGACTTTTTTCTCAGAATTCTGACTTTTTTTATTGTCAGAATTCAGTCAGAATTCTGAGATTAAAGTCAGAATTCTGACTTTTTTCCCCATGTTAAACTGAAATACATTTAAAAATCATTTAACTTTTTTTTTTCAGTGGCCCGAATCCTCTTCCATAGAAAAACCCTTAACATTACTGGCAGCAAACACTCAAAATCACCCAGTTTATACTTCATGTATATTGTAGAGTATATAGTTAAAAATACCACTATTTAAGCCTTCAGCAGATATTAGTAGTTGTTCCTTTTGGAACAATTTGTGTTTCTAATAACAGATGTTGACAAACCCTTCTATAAAAATATAAATAAAAGATGTAGGATTGTACAAAGTAGCATTACATTCCCTCCAATGTGAGAATATTTGAGAACATTAGTTTGGCCGTGTGTGTCAGAAGACTTGGCTCACTTATTGGGCCTCCATTAGCAGAACAGCTTTGGGAGCGCGCTGTGGAAGAGCTAATAACTGGGCCAGCGGGGCAGAACCCCTGCCAGCTTCAGCAAAGATAAAAAGAAACAAGAGTTCAGGGAGAGGTTTGCTCTTCACAATATCAGGAACCTTTTTGTTTTCACACACGCAAAATTCATTTAGGATTCCACTATGTGATATAATGAGGCATTCAGGTGCCGTTCCACTGCTCCGGGGCAGTGAACACTGAGGATTTGTCGGCACCCTGTTGTTTTTGTGTGCTTTTCTAATGGCTTCCTAATATCTGCAGTGGTCTGCAGGCAAAACTTTATGGTGCTAATTAAAAAATGCTTGTAGGCCTCACTGTGTACTGTTTTTTTGTTTGTTTTTTTTTTCTTCCGTTTTGAATAAAAAAAAAAAAGCTTCGTCTGTTTGCTTTCTTTTAAGAGTCGTAGTTTAATCTATTTATCAAAGCAGTAGATTTTTATCACGTTATTCAAAGGAAATCCAGCATGTTGTTTGCTTCCTAACACAAAACCATGTAAATGTTCAAGTCGTTATTCTATTAAATCAGGTCTGTTGCTTTTTTCTTCCTTTATGTTTGTAACATTTTGCTTAAAATTTCTTTGTTTTTTTGACCAAGCTGCTGTTAAAATAAGCATAAATGTTAACATTTACATCCTAATCTATAAAAAAAAATATATATATAAATATATAAATAAATATATATATATATATATATATATATATATATATATATATATATATATATATATATATATATATATATATATATATTTTACACAAGGCACCGTCCATTGATATTTGCCCTCTTTCCTTGTACCTGTTGAGAAAAAAAAAATCTCTCATCCGTCTCTATAGATGACAGCGTGTGTAGCATTAAAAATCATTAGAAGTCATTCAATTCAATTATTATTTTTAATTAAGGCCTTAATTAGCATTAAAATTCATTAAAAATGCTTTATTTAAAAAAAAAGTTTATACAAACAATTTCGTCAGATATATCAGATATAACTGGTTCTGCGTGTTCGCACAGAACTGCCTCCAGTTGATCGTAAAGCTGTATGTTCGGAAAAGAAGCTTCAGGTGGAGAAAAAGCTAGAGAAATGGGGGAAAAATGCAAATTATAACAAAAGTGGCTGAAAAACAAGGAATTTGGGAAATGGCTGCAGCCTTTTGACAGTTAAGATGATAAAGAATTTATATATATAAATGCTGAGAATCATGGGTACTTGTTGATTGCATTAAAATTATTTCTAAGAGCATAAAAAGAGCACTAAATTAGAGTTACTCATTCCTGTATAAACTCTGTTTTAGTTAACCGGTCTCAAACCTAATGTTAGGTTTAAATGAGATTTCCATATATGTTCAATTTAGTCTGGAATAATTACTGAATCATTTATTTTACTTATAGCCGATAAATTCCTTTTATGCCTTCAAGAACGCACAACATCGTTAACCTGAATCCTCCAGATGGATTTGCTGGATTTGCTCCGCATATCAATCTGGAAACCTTCTGTTGAAGTTATTTTGGGAAGGAGCGAAAATACTGGTTAGCTGATTGGCCTATGTTGGTGATAGACCGGCCAAATAAACCAATCAGATACACGAAGCATATGACGTACTAACAGAGCGACGACGAAAACACAACCACAAGCCAGGCTACTCTTGCCGAAACCAGTCGGGAGAAGAGCAAAAACATCTTTTCCTCTGAGAAAAGCCTCCAGAGCAGTGTTTTGCTCTTCTTTCAGTGAAGAAATACTCTGTATAAAACTTGCTCGATAGCCACGCTAACGCTAGTTTCATCGGCTGAAGCCGCCATGTTCTTTAGACTGAACTGTCGCGCTTCTCGTTGCGTCACACCTCAAGCCGCCTCAAAGCCAACGCTGATTGGACGTGCGTTTGGTAAACGGCTCCAAATTTTCTTTAACGGAGAGTCTCCAGACTGATCTGCGAGTGAAACCTTGAAAGCTCGCGAGATCAGGATGGTCTCACGAGGCTACAACATCGTGTGGGAAACAGCAAACTGCCTTTAGCCTAAACCTTATCAAATTATTTAAAAATTATATTTTTTTTTTTCCAAAAGATTTATGTACAAAGGTTCAACAGGTAACAGAAAAGAAACCCAAGTTTTGCAGTTAAAACTAGAATATAAAGTTCGCAAGGATTTTATTGCTGAATTCCAATCAGGAGAGTTCAATTCTTGTGACGGAGTTTTAGTCGCCTCCTTTGAAATGAGCGTATTGTGTCTTACTGGCAGTTTCAGAGTTACTAAAATAAAGAAATTATAATGGAGGTGGAGCCATGATGATACTTATTTAAAATATCATAAATATTCTTTACTGTGGACTTAACATAAGTATTTCAAAGTTCTATAAAAAAAAAATAAAAATAAGTAAAATTTAAAGGAGAAGTCCGGTCAGCAAGGAATAATCAATGGATCATTATCCAAACCTAAAACTAATAAGTTAACGGTGATTTAATAAATTTAGCGTTAATCAGTAAAAAAAATAATTTTCGTCGCGATCACGGAGACCAGGAGCAGCCATTTTTGCCCAAATATAGTAACCCCTCCCTCCTGCCTTCTTCCAGCAGTGACGTCACGGTGCGGTTAGCCTAGCGCCATTCTCCCCGCTTTACAAGCTAAATCAATGGGAACTACTAGACACATCTGCAATCAACAACAATTATTGAAGATTTCAATAATTGGAAAAAGCAAGATGGCGCCAGTGTGTCAGGCGGGCCGTCAGCTGCTCCGATTGTTGTTTGTTTTTCTATTGTTTATAACTTATTTTGAACATACCGTCAACACTCTACGGGTGTATGATCGCCAAACACTGTTAGATCTGAGGATTTACGCCAAAAATCTTGTCAACGTCAACTTCAATTATTATGGACAAAAATCGTTGCCTCCTTTCCTATCGGGCATCCCGACATACCTCTGCCACACTCCGACGCCACCCCCGCGGCGAAAACGGCCCCGCCGCCGGGGTAAGCGTAGCGGCTGTCTGGTGAGGCTGAAGGCCGGGTTGGTACGTCCTGATCGAGGTGGATATGGAGCGGGGCTTCGCCTTTGTGTCTCTCGACGTTCCCTGGACCCCGTCGCTGCCTGGTTGGTACCGGTAGCGGGCTCGGATGTGATGTTTCAACCCCGCGGACTCTGCTCTCTTCGTCCCCGCTGGCGCGGAGTAAATCTGGGGAACCTGCGGCCTCTGTGTCGGGCCTCCCGGTCAGCTGATCGCCCTGACCCGCCAGCTCATGCTAGATTTGGCCTGGTAAACGCCAGATCGCTTGTGAATAAATCATTTATTCTTAAGGATTTCTTCATATCCCGGAATTTGGATTTCCTCTTCATCTCTGAGACCTGGCTGAAGGTTGGTGAGTCCAGTGTTTTCACCGATCTTCTACCTGATGAGTGCGCCTTTTTTAACTCTCCTCGGACGTCTGGCCGAGGAGGAGGAATTGCGACTGTTTTTAAGAGTAACTTTGATTGTAAACAGATATCGCTCTTAACCTCCTTTACCAGCTTTGAACTCAGTTTGTTTGAGCTGGGGCATTCTCACAGGGTACTGTGTGCTGTGGTCTACCGGCCTCCAAAATATAACAGAGACTTTTTAACAGACTTTTCTGTGTTCTTGGCTGATATCATGCCCAAATATGACCGGGTCCTTATTGTTGGAGATTGTAATATTCATGTGTGTTGCCCTGAAAGCCCTTTAGCGCGGGAATTTTTAAATATCATTGATTCTTTTAATCTTGTTCAGTCTGTACTCGGGCCTACACATGAACGTGGTCACACACTTGATCTTGTTTTATCTTATGGTTTGCCTGTTCTTAACCTGG